TCTTAGACGAGTCGCTGGCCTTACGCGTCTCGACATGGTCCGGAATAGTGACATACGGAAGAGCCTTGGATTACAGCCTTTGCTTCTCCAGTTGAGAAGTCACAGCTGCGATGGCTTGGGCATGTGTTGCGAATGCCTCGAGAAACGAAGGCTAAGCAACTGTTCCTTGCAAATCCGACCGGCAAAAGGCACAGGGGACGGCCATGATTAACCTGGTGCAATCATATCGAAGGAGTCTGTTCCAGACTCCAGTTGTCTTTTGCCGAAGCTGAGACTCAGACTCTGGCACAGGATCGGGAACGTTGGAAACACTATGTGACGCGTCTGCCTCCGCGACCCGAAAGGAGAAGCGGCAATGGATGATGAGGAAGATGATGGTAATCAGTTTGGAAGAATATCACTTAGATAAGGAACAATGCAGCAAATGTTGCCAACGACTGAGCGATACAATACGCTGCTAGAAAGAACAGGGGAAATGTATCAACAGAGGAAACAAATGACTGCTCAGTCTATAATTCTTTACGTTTTAAAATATGCATTATGGTGGGAATGTTTTGTAGTTTTACACACGATCGGCAGCCTTACAGTCGAGGGTACCAAAGAAACTTTCTTATCAAGTGGTTGATGCCGTCCAAGCATTTGCAATGACAGTGAAGGAGGAGTATTGTATTCATTGCACAGACGATGTGTCAAGACCAAAATATGCTTTATCAAAAGACCAAGCCTTGAATGGTCCTTGTAAATTATAAGTCATTCTTTTGGCTGAGGGATTGTCTCTCCAAAACGACGTGTTGCGGAATACCGAAGATAAGTGATATTTTTCTGAATATTCAATTTCCTGTTGGTCTTTTCAACGCATATCTTATCGCAGTCCTGAGCCCAACGCAGCAAACCGCATTTGACACCTCTACAGGGTTACTTCTTGAATATAAAAAGCTCCACACTTAAGTCAATATTATAGAGACTCCCAACCCCATGCTATTGAGGCATCTTCTGATTGACTGAGACACCGGGGTTCGAAAGTTCACCACTGAAATTTTACTACTTTCACATTTCCACACTGATTTTAAATTTTTTCTATAATAGTTCGTTACGTCGGATTGAAGGGAGCGTGGCAATTCAAAGCCTCCTTTTACAGCAGAATGCGTCCTCTCATTATAGCGCTAGGCTGATATGCTCTCGTATCGAAATACCTCGCTGCTTCCATTCCAACTGTGTATGACCGATATGGCTAAGGGAATGGTCGTATACGTGTGAGGAACAATTTAGCTCATTTTTAAGAAACATAGAAGGTGTCATTTCGCAACTATTTCGCATTACTAACCATTCACACGATCTGGACATTCTCTCTGACTAAGCATTAGCTTTTTATATCTACAGCGTGAAACCTTTCATATCATCCCAAGAGGGCGAAGCCTAAATACTCCGCTTTTTTAGTGAAAAAAATCCATCCTCGAAATTGAACACCCGTTGTTTCACGTATATGAGTGCATAGAAGTGCTGAATGCTACAGTGACGAGTCAGTGAACATGAAAATCAAACTATAATCTTCGGCAGTTGGCCCTTGTACATTTTGAGGGGAACATGGTCACTGGTTCAGGAATATATTTCTAACATATCAAGTCACAACTGAGGCCGCTTATAGATTACGGATGTCATGTGTCTGCCGAGGATGAATGAAACATGTAGAAGAAGTAAGCAATACTGACAACTGCAAAGAGATGTTTACGACTAAAAACATAGACAAAGAAAATCTCGGCTCGATTCAGAAACTATTTAGTTCCAAGAAAAAAGACTGAAATGCATCAGTACTGAAAACGTGTTAGAAAAGATGCAAGGTAGGAAAGGTAGAAAAGAAAAGACATTGTTCTGAAAGAGGAGGCCAAAATAGTGGAAGATAACGTCAAAACATGATATGAAATCCTTTTTCAAAAGAATCAATCGCTTCTTTGACATCGAGAGGGCCCGAGTAGTAGTTGATAACCAGATAATGGCAGTCTCACTTCAGATCATGCCCAAGTGTTACATAAATGAGATATGTATATTCAACTATATTCATCCATTCATTAACCCTGACGTGATTATTAAACAAAATTCGCTGTAATTTATCGTCTAACCAGTCCTCTAATCCATATATGGATAGAAAACGCCGTTTCCAACGGTGGCAAACAAGATTATACCCGAGGTCTGGTCAACAACAAGTCCAACGAGCCGCTGTCAGAAGCTGATTGAGGTTGAAGATGAGGGATTGAGTACTTCG